CGCATTCTTCCAATTATAGGAGAACTTGCAACTGTCTTCTGTCTGGGTAGTCCAGGTTCCCACAGTCCAAAACCATGAGACTAACTGTCCTGTCTAGACTGCCCCCATGCACAGTGGTTAATACTGTGTGTTTAGGTTGTCCAGTGATAATATGACCTGTCCAGGGTGTACTCCAGCTCTTGGCCAAAGACCATTGGAGAAAGGAAGCAGCCCTTTACAACTCTGCAAAAATAGGTATTCGTGTTACAAGAAGGACTGGATGAATGTTTAAAGAATTATGTGATTTACATTTGTTAGATATTTTTTTCTACATAAGGCTGAATTAATCTAAAACTACAGTCATATGAAAAAGTTTGGGCACCCCTGTTAATGTTAACTATTTTTATTTCTAAGTATTTGGATGCTTGCAACAGCTATTTCAGTTTAATATATCTAATAACTGAGGGACACAGTAATATTTCAGTATTGAATTGAGATTTATTGGACTAAAAGCAAATGTGCAGTTTGCATTAAAACATAATTTTGACAGGTTCAAAAACATGGGCACCTCAGCAAAAAAGAGACATTAATTTTAGCAGATCCTCCTTTTGCAAAAACACAGCCTCTAGTCGCTTCCTGTAGTTTTTAATGAGTTTCTGGATCCTGGAAGGGACCCTCAACTTTAACAAGATTCCCAGTGCCAGCATTGGCAGCGCAGCCCCAAAGCATGATGGAACCTCCACCAAATTTTTACAGTGGCTAGCAAGTGTTTTACTTGGAATGCTGTGGTTTTTTTTGCCGCCATGCATAATGCCTTTTTTATGACCAAACAACTCAATCTTTGTTTCATCAGTCCACAGGACCTTATTCAAGAATGAAGCTGGCTTGTCCAAATGTGTTTTTGCAAACCTCAAGCGATTCTGTTTGTGGCATGTTTGCAGAAAAGGCTTCTGTTGCATCACTCTCCCATATAGCTTCTTCTGGTGCAAAGTGCCCTGAATTGTTGAACGATGCGGAGTGACACCATCTGCAGCAAGATGATGCTGCAGGTCTTTGGATGTGGTCTTTGGGTTGTCCTTGACTGTTCTCACCATTCTTCTTCTCTGCCTCTCTGATAATTTTCTTGGCCTGCCACTTCTGGGCTTAACAAGAACTGTCCCTGTGGTCCTCCATATCCTTACTATTTTCCTTGCAGTTTAAATCCCTGAGAAAACGTTTTGTATCCTTCCCCTGAACGACTATGTTGAACAATCTTTGTTTTCAGATAATTTGAGAGCTGTTTTGAGGAGCCAATGATGAATCTTCAGAGGAGATTCAAACAAGAGGACAACTTTCAACTGGCCACCTTAAATACATTTTCTCATGATTCGATACATCTGGCCATGAAGTTCAAATCTTAATGAAGTTACAAAACCAATTTTGTGTTTCAGTAAGTCAGTGAAAAGTAGTTTAGGGTATTCAAATCAATAAAATGATTCAGGAACCCAAATTTTTGCACATTAAGTTTTTTTAATGCATATTGCACACGTTCTGTCCAATAAACTTCAATTCAATACTGAAATATTACTGTGTCCATCAGTTATTAGATATATCAAACTGAAATAGCTGTTGCAAACACCCTAAATATTTAGAAATAAAATTAATTAAGATTAACAGCAGTGCCCAAACTTTTTCATATGACTGTAAATAAACCCAACTTTGATACAATACATTTTACAGATCTGATTTCTGTGGCAGATCATCCTAGTCATGTTTTATGCATTCTAAGCAGAAACTCAAATCATAACCTACTCAGTTATGATGACTTTTGTTGTTGGCGTAATTTGTAAGTTATTGACCTGTTTCTTCTGAAAGGATTAGTCAAAAGCCAAATTAAGCTTGAATGTGCTAGAGAACTGTGGAGTAAGCTAAAGATAAAATGTAACAAGATGTGGGTCCTTAAAGATCTGGGATTGAGACCCCGGTCTTAAAAAAAATGAAATGGCTGCAGACTCATGATCCCGTTACAACATTCGTCCCTTTGCTGTCACAGTACTAGACATGCTGACCAGAGTCTATTCTCTCAAGCTGATAAGTAGAACATAAGGTAAAGGAAGTTACCTCTGTAATTCAACTATTTTCAGAGCTGTCCTAAGGCAGTCAAGAGCTAAGCTTTTTCTTAGGGCTCCCAGGCCATCAGGGGGCCCATTTAAGCCATTCAATTCTCTGACAGCACTGTAAACATTTTAGTTAAGGTGTATTTCAAGTCATTTCTGGAACGCTAGTCTTTTTTACTACAGTTTCAAATCACCCAACACATTTTAATATCAGACCAAAAAAAAACAACATTGGGGTGGTGGGGTTGAGTAAAGGACTAAAACTACAGCATCTGAACTAGACTGTGAAAAGGGTCTTACTCTCCAAGCCCAGTAACTGGTTGTGCCCCTCTTGGCAACGAAAACTTGAAAACTGAAATCAACATTTCTAATCATTTCTAATCTATCATAAACCTGCTTATCTCGTGCATTTAACACATTTCACCCAGATTTATTTTGTCAGAAACCCCAGAAGACTCAGGTAGCGGCCTAAACAATTGTGTGGATCAGAGACTACTGACAAACTATATAACTAGGTAGTCAACAGCACAGGGGATGGTACTGTCACCAAAACTTTTTACACTTTGCACCTACAAATTCCAGGATAGGTCCTGTCATTAATACTTGGATGTAGATGTGGGGTGTATCAGAGATGGACAAGAAGCTAAGTACACTCAGCTGGTGAACTGCATTGGAGCATGGTGTGCCAACAGTCATCTGATCCTGAATGTGAACAAAATAAGGGAGATTGTAGTTTTCAGAAGAGAAAGGCAAGTGTGAAATGCCATTAACATAATGGGTAAAGAAGTGGAGGAGTATAATATCTTGGTGTTCACCTGAAAAGCAAAATTGACAGGAGACACAACTTTAAAGTTTTCTACAAGAGGGGGTAGAGCAGATTGTACTTTTTAAGGAATCTTAGGTCCTTCATTGTGTTGTGACAGGGGAGCTGGCTCAGAGCTCGTCTGCCTAGCTGTGTGTTTCCTGGACGGGGCCGCTTGTGGAGCTTGTTGGCAGTTACCTTTTGTATCTCTGCTTCTTTCTGTATGTCTGCTTCTGTCTCCTTGAACCTCAGCAGATCAACTCAGTTGATCCCTTGCCCCTATCATCGCAACCCAAAGCCCTGTACAGGAGAGCAAAAGACCTCACCTCTTCAGCCAGACGCCCCTTTCAAAGACTTAGACAGGTATGGGGCATAACATAAATCAAAATTGAACAAAAAACTTTAAAAAGAAACTCAAGCAGAAGTACACAAGGGGAACCTCATAACAGTGACTGAGGATGACGAGGTAATATTATGACCAAATATGGGAATACTACTAAGGGATGATGATTTGATATGGAATGCCAATGATGATTGCGTCATTTTTTTTACTATTCAATTGAAGAGAGTTCTCAGCTATCTATTCCGTTATCTCCTCCAGGCAATCCTGAAGTGGAGTTGATAGAACCGATGGGAGTGTTACTGTGTAACAGTGAAATGAAATCTTGTGTTTATGGATTTGACCAAGTGGGAGCCTATAGTCAGACTGTATTGGATAGTGAATTTTATTGTCCAAGTGCCACTTGCCGGTATGATGCCGATATGACCGGTTTAGTGTGGTTGCAGAGAGTCCTACCTTAGTCTGTAGCTGGTGGAGCAGGATGTAATGGTCCATGCAGTTGAGAGGTTGAGCAGTAGGAGCAAAGATGGTGAGCCCTTGTTCGCAGACATAAGTAGGTCATTCATGATGCTGACAGAGCTGTCTCCATGCTGTTGGCTGACCGAAAACCAAACTGGAATTTCTCATACAGGTTATAGATGTGAAGATTATTGTGGAGTTGGACTTTTTCAAAGAGCTTTAAAAAAAAAGCCAACTTTGAAATGGGTCTGTAATGGAATAAGATCTCAGGGTCGAGGCAAGGCTTTTTCAGGTAGAGGCAGTGGAATTTTGAGAGCTGAAGCGACCTGACAGGAATGTAATGACTAACTAATGGTTTCAGTGGTTAATGGACTGAACAGACATCATAAAATCTGATTTTAACTCAGGGAAGCAAGACTGCAGTATATTAAATGTTCTGGGCTCTGTTTAAAATAAAGAAGCCCTTTTGGCAGACTATCTTCTCCAAGAGAGGTCTGTGACATTTCAATGTTTTCTCCATTTGAGTATAATGTCTCACTGATCAGGTCCTAAATCCCTTCTAGCCCTTTTACAAACTGACAGAAGTCAAGAATTTTGTTACACAACTGTTCTTGAGTTTCTTTAGTCTATAGGTATGATGTATAGCTTTTTTAGATATTTTCCTTACACTTGATTTTTGTCTAAATAGTTCTATTTACTTGATTTTTGTCTGAATAGTTCTATTTAAAGTTCCCTGAAGTTCAAGAGGTCTGGCATTAATTCAGACCGGACCATGGCTTTTTGCATTAAACTCAGCAATTCCAAGAATGTGTTTATTCAATTTATTCAATAGGTTGATTTGAAAAAAAGTATTCTAATTTAGTTAATTTTTTTGAGACAGCTACATTTAAATATAAATGTTGTTGCAAGGTAATTTATAAAACCGAATAAGAACTAAATTCTTATAGAGAAATATGTAGTTAGTCCAGTCATACAAATAACCAATTGCATGCATTCCAGTTTTGTTAATTTTACAGAACAATACAGCCAAGCTGCATCTTTGTTGTTGTTTGTTTTTTATCAAAGGAAACCAATTAAATTTATCGAGTTGCTGACTCCTTTACACATTCAAATTTGACTTATATTAAAAACTCTTTATAGATCTGTCAGATTTAGGAGTGTCAAAAATGTAAAGAATAAATAAATCAATCTTTAAATTCGGTACAAAGAAACTCAGACAAACTGCTATTAATACTAACAAAGAATCAATCAGTTTGCAATCTTTGTAAGCAAGAAAAAAAAATTCAGCACAATTTTCCATTCTCAGACATTTATTTATGGATTACATATAATTTATCTTCAGTGTTTGTTTTTTTTTATCTTTTAAATAAATGAGAAGTTTGTGGCGGTAATAATCATATTTGCAAACCTAAATTTTGCCCAGGGCCCATTTCAATCTTGGGCCAGCCCTGCTGATTCACCATGTTCAAAGAGGAGCTCTTCACTGTTCTTTCCAGCAGATCTATGGAAACAGTTTCAGGATCCTTCTGGACTGAAAAAGTGCGAGCTGTTCATATTTGGGACGAGAGCAGAGGGCTTCCAGTCAGGCTGATAAAACTGGATATTTAGAGTCCGTGCCCAGTTTGAAAACACAGTCTTCTCTGTGATGAAACGGTGGTGGCTTCCTATTCGACTTCCCTCGTGAAGGAGGTACATGGAGCACTCATCTGGCCCTGAGGGTTCGTAGTAATGATACGGCACCATGGGATGTGAGGAGGATCTTCATAGGGGTAAGAGGAGAGAGAGACGAGTTAGACTTGAAAGTCAAAGTGCAGGGAAGGAATGGAAAAACAGTGTGGGGATAATTATGAGAAGCAGGGGTGGAGAGGGCGAGTACAAGAGAATCACAGCGGGGAATGGAAAAGGAGACAGGAACAAAGAGAAAACAGAGACATAAGAAGAATCTGAGCTCACAGACACACTCATTATTCTCTGTAATCTTCCTCTGATGCTCTAAGTCTGCCCTACATATTTCAAACCGTCTCCTGTGCCCTTAATGTGAAAACAATAACGCCAAACATTTCAGTGACCCTGAACATAACAGAGGCATACTAAACAGCTAACTAAACTCTGTTTTAAAACTTAGAGTGTGATATTTAATAAAGATGCATTTTACAAGTCACGAAAAATTCTGCAGACAAGAAATGCAATGCTGATCTTGCAAGTTAGAGGCTAAATTATAGATGCTCATGATGAGATTTCCTTATACTGAGAAAAGGCCCCAGATGTTAGGATCAGAACCACACACGAAAAGTGTGTCACTTGAGCTGTATGTTCATTGGCCCTTCTCTAAGAGAATATGACAAACTAATCCTATTTAGCCATGCGCAGATAATAAGGCTTAGATGGTAGGAATAGCCAACTAAACATTACATTTTATTAGGGTTCAAAGCAAAAAGCGCAAACCTTTTGAAGCAAAACGAATTCTTCTGAAAGATATGCTTACGTATAAGTAGGTTGAGCTTTACTGAAATATGGGAGCAGTCGAATTATCAGTGAGTCCAACCTAAATGCAGAGGAATTCTGAAAATATTGACCAAGCACTTCAGTAAGGAGCTCCTGATATAAACAGCAACTGATCCATAAGAGACCGACATAACTTTGGTGAAATAAACAGTGTTAGGAATCCAGTTTGTGTGGGTTGTTTGTGTGTTTCTTCTCTCTCCACCACCAGGTGGTGCCCTGTCCTCATTGGGCCTCCCTGCACACCTGCTGCTTGTTCGTTCATTGCTGGAGGAGTATTTGAGCATTGGGCTGTCACTACCTCGACGCCAGAGTGTTGCCAGTTGCCAGTTTTGGGTACTCTAGCCAAGCTGAGATTAGCAGAGTCTAACCTAGCTTTTTTTTTTCTCTGAGTCTTATGAGTTTTTGTCTTTGCTCTTTGGCAGGAAGCCTTCCTGTGAAAACTGGAAACCTGGACCTTCTCCCCCTGGAAGGAATTACTGAGTTTACACTGAGCAAGGAAAACCTCCACATGATCCGTTCAAGTCCCCATCGGAAATCCAAGTAGTCTGCTCCATTACTCTTCTGGGTCCAATGTAAGTCTACCTGTTCACTCTCTAACGAGTTCTCTCTTTTCTGGATGATCCCACACAGACTGGATTCAAGGATTGACAAGAACCCCCTCAAACGTGAGTCCCTCTCCAGCATAATTCAAGCTGCAGTCTCATTTCCCACGGTCCCTGAACTTATCTCTGTGATCTCTCCTTCAGACTTTCCAGTTCCTGTTCACCAGTCCTTTGAGTCCAGATCCAACCTCTGTTTACATACCTTCAAATAAACCTGTTAAACTTTTCCCCGTGTTCTCTGAGTGGTTTCTCTGCATGTGGGTCAGAATCCTTAAACCGATCATGACATTAAGAACAGAAAATGAGACGATGGGGGGAAAGAATCCACGTTTGATATGACATATATCCTGTACAATCCAAATACAAGGCAAACACGTATTTTAGGGTAAAAATATGAACATTAGTTTATTTCCTTTTACTGAATCTCAATAGAGTGCATAGACCTGTAATGTCATTACCCCTGTATATGCTTAATATTTTTAGAAAAATATCCTCTCAAAGACACAATCCTTTTTATTCTCTACTGCAGTGGATGGATAGAGGATACTTGCCATTTGTCTTACAGATTTTATGTGGGAAGCTAAAGAAAATGGTTGGTAAACCAGTTTGTTTAAGTAAGATTTACACACTCACCTGCAGAAATCAGGGGGCACCATACCAAATACCTTGATCCTGTCACACAGCTCCAGGGCTATAGCCATGGTGAACCAGCCGGTGCTCAGCCAGGAGTTGGACCTCTTTCTGGATTGAATTCACGAGAGGATTAACATGTCTCAGTACACACAGACACATAGCATGGCTGCTTCTACAAACAGAGCACAGCTGTTCCTCATATTTTATATGCATTGTGCAGAACAGAAAAGGACTTGAGAAAATGTGACACAATTGCTCAAAGTGACTGCATTCTCATTCTAATACACATCAGCTTTTCATCCAGGGAATTCATTGTTTAAATGCAAATGAGCTCATATGAATAGCTGGATTCACATCAGTCAGCTGCCTTTATTTATTCCACTTTTTATCATGTTCACTCACCCAGTGTTTTTTCACAGTAGAAATCCTTGTAGTTTTACCAAAATCCTCGTTTTTTACAGTTCTTTTTGGTTTTAGTTTATAAACAGCTATATGTCTACTTCTTATCACAGGCTGATAGTTCTTTTGTATAAAAAAAACTAAACATGTGCAATGAATATTTACCTATCGATTCCTGTTTCCTTGTTGAATAACTCATCAAACTTCAGCATCTTTGTCCTGGATATTGTGTACACTTTAAGTTTGGGAAGTAGATGTTTTAATAGTCTAAGGTTGTTGTAAACGTGGCCTCTACCATCCCGTCTCATGCAGCTGCTTGGTCCCCAGAAGATGAATATTGTTTCTTGACTCCCGTTAAGCAGCTCCTGTCTTCTCCGGAGAACCCTTTGCAGGCTAGAATGTGCAACAACACGCAGACTTGTGCGCCTGCCAACGTCCAGGTGATGACCTGCGCAGGGAGCATCATTCATCCGAATGACACATTCTGAGCGGTCAATTTCCTTGCCCCTGTTGCTATCAGTCAGGTGGCCAGAGCTGGTCACTAGGGCGCATGTACTGCAGTGCATCCTCAGAGGCTGTAAATAAAAAAGGGAGTAAGGAAGAAATTAAACCAGAATAGTCGTTTTTTTTTTTTTCGTAAATCTTTCGTGCTGTTTTTATTAACAGATCAAGCACCTTTTAAAAGTATTCAGACCCTTTGAACCTTTCAGATGTCTCTCACTTAATGTCCTTTTGCTACAATCAAGTCTTTTTAAGTTTTTCTTTATCAACCTTATAGCATATTTTAAACCTTTTCAAACCAGATTACATGTACTCATGTACCTCTACATATTAGCTTTCAAACTTTACCAAAAATTCTCTGTTGGATTAGAGTCTAGACTTTTTTAGGCCACTGTAGAACATGTTTTAAACCCTGTCACTGCAGTTTCTGCTATTATCTAGGAAATATCACCATTGCTCTATCAGTGTGTGAAATATCTGTATTGCAGAGGACTACAGTAATTGTTGGTTAAAATATTCCAAGAGTTTTAAACTCAGTTTTCATGCTATTGTAGATTGAGCTAGCTGAACTGTCTCGAGGGGGCAGATATGATTATCTGACACGGGCGACTTTGTCAAAAAGATTACATGACTGCCCTAATCCTTAGGTGTTTGAGTTTTGAGTTTATTTTATGCCTCTATTTTTGTGCTGTAGAAGCACAAAAATAGCTGGCAAAAATAAAAATCAAATGTTAGTTTTAGTTAATTTCTTTGTGGATTGGCTATTAGTTCACTTTTTGTTCTTTGTTCTTGTCACACTGCCCTGCTTTTCATTTATCTCCCTTCTGGCTGCTTTTCCAGTATTTTCCAGTCAAAGCTCTCCTTGTCCAATCTGTCAGTTTAACTTTTTTCCTGAACTATTTTGTGTCTTACTAGGTTTTCATGATATCACGTTAACTACTGACCTTTGAGGCCTGCACAGCTGTTTATATGCTTACATTAAATCACATAAAGCCTGCACCAGTCTGTAGTGGAGCTGAGCAGCTCCTTTTGTGAAATACTTTTACTGTTTGTAAAAAGGATCGCTACCACAGGTCATTCATCCCTGCTGCAACCAGACTCTAAAACTGTGACACTACAACGGCAATAACTTGTGCAATGTATAATGTTCAATTACTATTTAACACCCTGTGCAACAAACTGTTTCTTTATATTTGACACCCAGTGATATAGCTTTATAGATAAAAACCCAGCTATTAAAAAAAAAAAAAAGAAGAGATTTCAGCTATCATTTATATATAAGTTGAACACACTGTATAAACTGTATATACCCCCATGCACCTTTTCTTCCTTTGGCACCGCCCTCTTCTTTTTGAATATTTGAGCTGATGTGTGAGCCAATCAATAGGCATTTGGCCCCTGTGCTTGCTGCACTAAGGGGGGACTATTTGTACAACCGTCCCATGAATTAGTTAATTTCCTGCAGGCAGCACAAGGTGGATCTTGCCCCATTTATTTGAGAGCAAAAACTGTTACTGTCCTTTTATAAACCAAACTGTAGAAAGCTAACAGTAGTCTGTTCTCTCATAATACATCATCATTGCAGGATCAAATGTTATATTATACTACATGGTCATACCCAGTACTCGAGTTGAGGGAGGATGGCAGCCCCCTTCTTAAACAGATCTTAAAAATCATCCCCTTCTTAAATGACGATTCCCCCCCATACTATCCCCTGTGGCATTTTATCACTGAATGTGTAAATTTCTATTATATATTGAGATTAATGGCAATAATATTGCCCTTTCAACATTTAGCAGGCTACTAGTAGTGCACAGGCTGCCCTGTTCTGAACAGCATCATGGCCAAGCGTCGAAGACAATGCTATTAGAGGGAACGTGAAAATAAGGAGGGGAGAGAATCTTCCGCAGGTTCCAGGTTCTAAGTTGCCAAGATCTTCCTCCCCTGCTTAGTTTGAGAAATAATGTGTTTACAATTATGCAAGTTTCTCCACATAATCATACCTATTCTCTGTGATTGTAGTATGAATTTCATAAGTCTGGGACAATAAATGTAAAAATGAGGAGGGGAGGGAATCTTTGGCAGGTTCTAAGTTTAACAAATAAGGTGTCATAAATGATCTAGAATGGTGGTGATAGCAAAATCGGGAATTGGCATCCACTAAGCAGAGAATTTATTCATCACACACTGGCTGTAGCACACCTAGTAAAATGCTATTAATTCAAATTGATCTGTCCAACAAAACTATCCATTTTAAGGCATCCATGTATAAGAAATATGAAAACATTAAGAATATGTTCATTCACGTTCATATTTCAATCCGTTTCTCATTAATGGGCGTGAGTTTAGGGTGATGCGTGCTCCTGTGACAGGGGAGGTAATTGCACATCAGAGGAACCCATAAGACAGAATCGAAGCAGGGGTGGATTTAGGAAATTTGCGGCCCTAGGCAAAGGCAGGTATGTGTATGTGGCCCTCTGAATTTTTGGAGAGTCAAAATGCAGTTTGAGATATCTCAAATGACGTAATCTTATTTGTCATTCAAAGTGTCACACAGCCAGAATTATAATCAAGGTATTTCAGTTAATTTGAACTAGTCAAAACTATATATTTTTTAACAATTACGGTATGAAATATCCCCCTAGTGCTGTCACTCAGCTGCCCCAACAGTTGCCTGCAGAATGTTGCAGGGTTGCAATGGTGCTGGCTCTTCTTGACAAAGTTGTTTCAAAATGCCACAATATAGAAAAAACTCGGGAGGGGATGTGCGGAGAACAAGAACTTTTTGAACTCTGTGACCCATTTCAAATTAATTATAATTTTTTTCATATATTAAAACACTTTTGTTGGTCCAAATTTAGAATTCTTCTTCAATAGTTTATCTTCTCTGCTTTTCTCATCCCTTCACCAGTGTTACCAACTCCCCAGCAAGAAAGGCCGCTATTGGCTGTCCTATAAAGCGCTAGATAATGCCTGTCACCCAGTCAATGGTCAATAGCTTAGTTCGATGGACCTGTTAGAATAGTTTTAACTTATTCATTCATATATTTTATACAGGCTTATTTAATTTTCAGGCTAAGTCTAATGTATTTGAATATGTATGCAGTTTATTCGGATTATGAAAATTATTTCAGCTGTTTCATTTAAATTAATTGAATTTGAATAGAAAGATAAATGAATTGAAAAGATTCAGATATTCATTTGAAATGTTTAATGAGGTTTTGTTCCAAATCTAAATAGATTCATTGCCATATGATTTTCCAAAGTAAAATCAAAGAAGTGTCCTACCATGACTATGAAGCTGATAACAGTGGGAAATCAGTCCTTAACTATGTAGGGGCAGTGATAGCCATGCTAGTCCAGGGACTGAATGCAGTTCTACTGAAAGGTGCCTTGGTCAAGTTCAATGACCGGTGTACCTGACATGTAACAACTATACCATGCATAGTGCTTTAGGTTAATAGAATATATTAATTAGTCTATGTATACTTAAAAAAAATATAAAAATAAATCCACCATCCCCCTTCCTTTTTTTTTTTTTTTTTACAACTCGACTACTGGTCATACCCAAACAATAATGGAGTTCAGGATTGTGTAGAAAAATTGTTACACTGTCAAACTATCCAACTAGGGCTTTGGAGTTAAAAATGAAGAGGTCAGACGCTAAATGATCCTACGGAAGACTCCAGATGTGAATTATTCACAAACTTTATGGAAAATTCTATCAGCATTCTCAACTTGGCCCTGAGCTTCACACTCCACCAGCTTCTTAGATGCAGATAAATTTGTGAATATGTCTGT